AGTAGCCGACTGTCGTTGTCTTCCGTACATTCGGTAAGTGAAATTTTATTTGAATAGCAAATGTCACTCCGAAGCATAACGAGGATTTCGTTTGGGAAACTATCGACTTGGTAAGCTTTTGAAAATAACTCCTCCACAGTAGTCATTCCTTCAGCGGATTTATTTGATAAAGAACCCACGAACAAACTTAGTTTTGTATCTACATTTTTTCGCTTCAGAACCACTTGGCTCTGATGCGTGAACCATTCATTCCCGTCTTTAGGTAGGTAACCTGACCTTCTAGTCAATGCATCTGGTTACGCTCCTTGTTTTCCCGGTCGAAATTGTATAACGAAATCGAAAAGTGAAAGGAATTCGGACCAACGAGCTTGTCGGCGATTTAACAATTTTATCGTCATGAAATATTTCAGGATCCGATGATCGCTGAAAACTTTAATGGGGAATTGTGCTCCCTCCAGATAAGGTCGAAATTCTTCAAAACATCGCACGATCGCCTGAAGTTCTTTGTCATAAATTTCATAGTTACATTTCGCAGACGAATGTTTCTTGGAAAAGAAAGCGACCGGATGTAAAACTCCTTCATAATCACATTGCGATAGAATTCCTGCTGACACGTAGTCGGATGCAATGGTTTCCACCACAATCTTTCGATCCGAATCGAAATGAACAAGGATAGATGCCGTTGTGAATATCTTTTTTAAAGTCTGAAACGCTTCCTCCCTCTCATCCGTCCATTCGAATTTAATATTTTTCTTCGTTATAGCTGTAAGTGGGGCAACAACTCTGGAATATCCTAAAATAAACCGTCGATAAAAATTTGCAAATCCAAAAAATACTTGAAAGTCATGGAGATTCGTCGGCGTAGACCATTCTAAAAGATCGATAAGTTTCTTTGGATCCATCTTATTGCCATTCGGGGTAATGATTAAGCCAAGGTATTTCGTTTCTTGAACCATAAATTCGCATTTTTCGGGTTTGAGATGAACATGATTTTCATCAAGTACCTTTAGAACCCTTTGAATCTGATCTTTGTGTTCTGTAAGGGACTCAGAGTAGATGAGAATATCATCTAAATAGGCCATTCCAAATTGATCGAGATAGGGATACAGGATGTCGTTGATTCAATGTTGGAATGTAACAGGAGCATTGGCTAATCCAAAGGGCATTACTGTATATTCAAAATGTCCATATCGAGTCCGGAATGCCGTTTTCCATTCGTCTCCCTCCGTTATCCTGATCTGGTTATATCCCCAGCGTAAATCCAACTTGGTATAACATTTTGCTTTCGACAATTTGGCCAAGGTTTTCATCAATAACCCAATGGATAATGATTCTTAATTGTAATTGCATTAAGGCCCCTATAGTCGACACATAAACGGAGAGTTCCATCGGCTTTCTTGACGAATAGTATGGGCGCTCCTGCTGGCAATTCGCTATGTCGGATAATCCCCTTGGGTGGATTTTCCTGAAGGTAATCCCAGAGTGCCTTCAACTCAATTTGGGTAGGGCATATATCGGTCCCCACGGTGGTTGCTTGCCTTCTTCTAGTACTATTTTCATATCATGGGACGGTCGATGTAGTGGAAGAGCTGAAGCATCATATTCTTCAAACATGTGGATATAGTGATGGAACTCTCTCGGTATCACTTGTTCACTATTGGTGGTAGATTTTTCAGTTGCTGAAACGATAACTGTATGGGTTTCCGGTAGGGGAATTGATATACCATGAACTGTAATTGCAGTTCCACTGAGCGAACAATGTTGACAGCAGCTTCAAGAGTCACAAATAAGGAAATTTTCCTTTGGTCGAATCGTAACGTCATGGCGCCGCATCCAATGTATCCCCATCACAATCGGATAATGTCCTAACTTTGTCACAAAACATGCCGCAGTCTCTCGTTGGCCATGAATGTCTAGTGAGACATCAATAGTATGGGTAATTTTTCGTGACTCGATAGGTCTGCCGTCTATAACATCTACGTGGCGGGGTATTTTGAGGGGTGTCATGGTGAGATTGTTGTGGCGTGCAAAAGATTCATCAATGAAAGCGTTTCCTGATGCTCCGGTATCAATAGGGGCGTAGGTGGGTACGAAAGTATTTTTATTCTGTGAAATAGAACGAGTTACTACAAGTTGATTCCCATCCATTTCCTCCTCCTCTGATACCGAAAAACCAGAAATATACATCCTAGAAAAATCCTTAAATGGCCCCTGTGCTAAGCAACTTAGTGGAGGGACAGATATTTTGCCGACTCATTATCGCTTCCATCATTTTCCTCCACTCTGAATGCCGCTCCACTCATCACCGGTCTCCTTGGTTGATTTCCAGTTGCCCTCGCTTGGGGACAATCTCTAACCATGTGTCCAACACTTCCGCAATAGAAACATCGGTCCTCAGCCAAGCGGACGTTTCTTTCGGTAGAGGTGGGGCGACGACGTCCCCCAGACAAATCCATCGGTACATCACCTCCCGGCGGAACGAGGGATGGTTCTCATTAATAGGTGCATTGACAACCGGGGCAGCAGCACGGGGAGCAGGAGCATTATTCACTGGTGGGGGACGAGGGGCCGCAGCAGCAACAGCATTCCAAGGCTTTTTACTTCCTCGCTTAGCTTCTGCCGCTCGTCGGCGATTATCCAACCGTTGCAAGAGCGTCGCACATGCATCTACCATCGCAGGAGTCTCATGATATATCATTGATTCGTCGAGTTCTCCATTAATACCTTCCATTAAAGCCTCAATCCGAGAGACTTCATCCATCCCTAACTCGGGAGCATACTGTTGAAATTCGGCGAAATAATCAGCAAAGGTTCAATTTCGTTGGCGGATGTTCCTAAGGTTCTTCCTAGCTGTGCGCATCTAAAATTTCATAAAACCATAACATGGAAGGCAAAGCAATGCCTTCTTCTCCGACGTATTGTAAAAACTGATTAGCGGCAACGCCCTTCAATCAACTGAATGCATAGGATAGTTTAGACTGTAGTTTGGCAAAGCGGTCGGCATATCCCAATAGCTTAATCCTCATCTGTTGCTTGAATAGGTGTAATCTTTCTCGATCTCGATCTCCCCTAAACACCTCAGGATCTGGGAGCTTTTCCGACCGTTGGGTAGTAGCCGTGACAAGTGGTACTGGAGGCACAGGTGAGGTATCATCGCCACCAATCGGTTCTTCATTAGGGGCAACCACTTCAACAGCAACCCGTTGAGTTCGAGCAGCAGCAAGATCTCGTTCGAACATCTCTCTTGCATTTCCAGCCTCTCTTTCCACCTCCTGTAAGTCCGTTGCATACTGAGCAATACCATGTTGGGCCCATTGAAGAAGTGCATAAGCTTCTATCCCGACATTATTATCGACCTGTTGGTGTTCTTGAAAGAAGTTTTGAAGGGCATCGCTTAGTTGCTGATAATCGACAGGGACGAGTTCCGACATTGTAGACTATAGTGTTGTATTGGTTGGCGATAGAGGACGCAATCTAGTGTAATGGGGGTCTATATGCATAGGGACTATAGTGCTAAGGAATCCAACCGAGGCGAAGACGTAGCAGTAGGTATTCAAGACTATGGACTATGGGGCGGCTCTTCCTGGTGTGATAAACCAGTTGAACCCTATCGCGAGACGTAGAACAAAAGTAGTATTTGTGGAGTAAGTACAAAATAGATAGATAGATAGATTTGGAAAGGAAGGAAAACATGAAAAGGCATGAGACAACGCCCCTTTATATATCCAACTCCTAGTCCATTGATGACTAATACTCTGCGTAATGGAAACCGAAAAAACATAACAGAAACCCCATTACAAATCCTAGTTCAACTGTGCAATACCTCCTCTTCACGATACAATATATCGCTTTAGCCAAAATATAATATTGCCGTTACAGCAGGGTATCTAGGGTGAGGGTAGGAGCTGACGAGGAAGGACTGCGATGAGAATCTGAGATAGGTTTTGGTTTGAGTGAGGGTCAAGGGGGTCAGCGAAGTAACATTGCCATAGTATTCTTTTAACGAAGAGAAAGGATAGTATTGAAGAGTAATGAATAGTGTATATATAGAAAATGTTGCGTGAAATAGAAAAAGGAAAAAAGTAACAAGATGCAAGGACGGCACCTCCTAATATACCCAAGGAACTCCAGTGATGATAAATCCAATATGACTAATACCCTTGTGATGGCAAGCAGCCCATAGAAACTCGTACAATGTTTCTGACTAATCCAACCCCTCGTAACCTAACTTATTGATCAATCGATCTATGAAAACCAGCACCACACTCCTAGGTTCCCTCTTCATTGACAGACCCGCCCTCTATGCACCCCCGAGGTGTACAGCTACTCACTCTTGCCGTCTGCCTTTGGAGAGGATATGCAGTTGATGGCAGACTACTGGCATAGTCATGAAAGTTGGGGTTGCAACATGCATGCTCTCTTTGGTTACTTTGTTCTTTTGTGTTATCTGGAACTTTTTTCCTTCTTTCTCAGCTGGGGGGTTCTCTAGTCATCAACCTTGTATGAGGAGTGTAATTGGTAGCATACCATAGTTCCTATAACGGGGGACCTGGCATTGTGGATGGGTCTTTACGCCATAGTCTATGACTGCATGCAGTAATTGTACCTAGAAACAATTTATATGATATAAAAATAAAAAAAAATAAAAAAATAGACTCAAAAAGTAAAAGGATAGTGGATAGGTAGTACATGATGATTAGGAATAACGGAGTGCGGAAAGAAAGACAGAACTAATCCTAGTAGCGTAATCGCACATGTGGCCTGTGTTATGAACCCCGAATCATTTCCCACCACTATCGCCTACAGAATTGGCGATTGGCCACTACCTCGTGCCTTAGTTATATTTTATATCGGAAACGTTATTTAATGAAATATAATATAGAGCGCATACAGACACGCGCACAGGCCGTGCAACGTAAAGCGTAAGGAATCGGCTTAATAACTAGTGGATATTCATCAACATCACCTTATTCGGCCTATAGGTCTGCTGTATATGGACACTATCGCCGGGAATACAGCCTTGTCAAAAAGATCGAGGCAATATCAAGAAAATAGTCGGTTTGGCAACAGGCCAAGATAGATATCGCTGGGATTTGCAGAGCGCATATATACTCATTGTCATATGCTCGACGGTGACAATTAGACGGCTCCAGACCGAAGTAATCCATCGCATCGTGCATCTTCCAGAGCTGCGATCGGCATGTGGTGAAGAGGGTAGCGGTGTCTATCAAAGCTATCATGGGATTACTGTACCTTCGGGTAGCCTTTTTGTTGGCTGCGTGCCAACGCGCTTTGTCTGGGTTTGTTGTCACGGAAATAAAAGGTGTTCTGGCTCTGCTACTCCAATTGGAGTGACATTCGACCATGGCTTTGAATTGTGAGGGATTGTTTGGCAGATACGGATTTCCGGAGTTAAACCCAGCCATCGTGTACTGACTCACAGAGGTCTCATCATAGACTCGATATAAGATTGGCGGCAGGTCCGTCACGCATGACACCGGTGGAGGGAGAAAGCTAGAAGATATCAGTTACTAGTAGCGCAGAATACGGGAACCGGGACACCTTTACCACGCAGGACTTTGCACCCAGGTTGCCTGTTCCTGTAACATCTGTCCCTGTGACATCTGTTCTTTGTATTCCAAATACATTCCTTCATGTGTCCATACGCTCTTTGTGTCCCACTTATATGACTCCTGTTGAAGTTCTCCTTGTGATAATAGATACTGAAGCATCCTCGCTCTGCGGTCCTCCTCAGTATATCCCCCAATCACCCCTTGCCACTGTATATTCGCGTTCGGTGCCGCCGATGTCAACACTAGCGGTGGTTCGGTAACACGCCCCTGTTCCCTAATAGGCTTCTCCTGCTGTTCGGTCCCTCTCTCCTTTTGGGCTTCCTCAACCTCATCTTGAGACTGCGATATTTCCAGTTTCTGCCGTTCGCCTTCTTTCCTTCTTTCCTTCTCCACTTCATCTTTACGCCTCTCTTCCTCTTCCCGCATATCCTGAATCCTTTTCGCTTCTGAGATTATTTGCTCCTCCTTCTGTCTCTGTTCTTCTTTCCGCCTCTCCTCCATTCTTCTCTCTTCTGTAATTCTTCTCACTTCCGCAATTTTTCTCTCCACCGCAATTATTTTCCCTTCCGCAATTCTTATCTCTTCCGCAATTCTTCTCTCTTCCGCAATTCTTCTCTCTTCCGCAATTCTTCTCTCTTCCGCAAATCTTATCACTTCCGCAATTCTTCTCTCCTCCGCAATTCTTCTCTCTTCCTCAATTCTTCTCTCTTCCTCAATTCTTCTCTCTTCCGCAATCCGTTGCTCCTCGATCTTTCTCTCTTGCTGCTTCAGCCTCTCCTCTTCCTCCAAGCGCATTTTCTCCTTCCACTCTTCCTCCTTAAACCGCCGCTCTTCTATATTCGCTTGCTCCCTTTGCCTCTCTTCATCTTTCCGCTGGTTCGCATTCTGACTGTGTAAACTGCTAGCGATGTGGTAGGTTTTGAGATGTGTCTTCAAAGTTATTTCGCATACATCGCATTCCCAAGGGGTAACATCCTTTACCGGTGGCTGATACTTCGGTGTAGCATGATTCTGTCCTATCTTTCGCGCGTTCTCCGTCCTGTGCTCGCTAACCTTTCTCTGTTCCTCCTCTTGTTTCTTTTGTTGTGTTTGCTCCTTGAATATCTTCTCTTCGAGTCTTTCTTTCTCAACTCTCCGCAATTCTTCCTCTTTCTCTTGGTTGAGAAGTCCTTCTAACCGTTGTTTCTCTTGCCTTTTCTCCTGTAGCTTCCTAAGCCTGTCCAGCTCCGCCAATTTCTTCTCCTTTCTATCCTCCTGCATCACTTTCTGCTCTATCCGCCTATCGTTCGAAGGGTGTATATTGCTCTCGGGGTGTGCGCCTTTCAGCGCGGCGTGCATTTTCCAGTTGCAAAGAAGACATTCACAAATGCCTGCCCTACCTCCACCTTGCGCGGGGACGGTCGTTGGGACCTCGAACACCTTCTCTTCGAGTCTTTTTTTCTCAACTCTCCGCCCTTCCTCTTCTTTCTCTTGGTTGACCAGAGCTTCTAACCGTTGTTTCTCTTGCCTTTTCTCCTGCAGCTCCCTGAGCCTGTCCAGCGCCGCCAATTTCTTCTCCTTTCTATCCTCCTGCATCGCTTCCTGCTCTATTCGCCCCTGCCCTCGCTCGAATCCTTGCTTCCTTGATATGTCGTTCTGAAGGTGTACATAACTCTCGAGGTGTGCCCCTTTCAGCGCGGCGTGCATTGTCCGATTGCAAAGAAGACATTCCCAAAGACCTGCGCTACCTCCACCTTGCGCGGGGACGGTCATTGGGACATTGAGGGGGTCGGGGAGAGGGCCTTCCCCTTGTGTTTTGGGGTGGGTCGAAGGTGTAGAGCGGCGAGGGCTGTAAAGAGGTTCTGAGCGGGCGTGGCGCGCATCACTGGCACCAGAGCGAGGTACCCCATATGTCGGGTAATTGAAGCAACTGTAGTCCATGAGTTGGGTATGGGAATTATGGGATGGGCGTTTGTTTTGTCCGTTCCTTGGAGGTTCTATAAACACTGTTGATGCGCATCCTGCCTATCAGTCTCGGCCGAAGGAGCTCCGCGAACGTAACGAACTACGAACCTTAGAGAAATAACCTTGCATGCTTGGTCGAAGAGACTTGTCACTAGAAAGATCCGCGCTTAAGGTGAGGACGAGGAGGAGGAGGAGGAGGAGGAGGCTCTGTAGCTTCGTCGGTTTTCCAAACGCCCGTAAACGCGGTACCCACTCTGAGAATCACCCGCGTATTCCAATGGTTCCATATGCTGGGACCTAAGACATCACAGCTTTGCTGGAACAACACACGAATTCTTGGAATGCTGGATGCCTTAAAGCTTAGTAAGCTTGCTACTCACCTAGAGTTACTAGACAGAAAGAGTCATCTCCACCCAACACCCTACTAGAAGAGTCTTTGTTAACTGAAATCTAATTGCAAGTAATACCGGGGGAGGTACCGCTAAAACCCGAAGAGCTCCGTCCAGGGGTTACTGGGCGAGTGATTGGTTGAATGGCATCGATCTGCATCTCTGGAAGCTAGCCAATCTTTCGAGTTATGGCGGTAGTCAGATATGATAGGTATTGTGGTTAAATTGGGGTTTGTTTGCGCCGGGGGGGTGGTCTTTTGAGCAAAAAAACAAAACGTGTTTTCAATTGAACAAACCAGGATTTTGAGTGTGTTCCTGGCACCCGCCATTAGACCCAACTCACTGAAATTCGTAAACCTATCAGAGCCTCAGAGTTTTGAAAAGCCAGAAATTAAAATGATCATTCTGTAGTGATTCTCTATCTTAAATTTCTGGGGGTGCGACGTTTGGGGTAAGGGCGGTTTTGGGACCGGATTGCGTAGGTTTATCACGACCGGCACCTAATTAGTTGAGAGAACATATTCTATCATATAGGACCTAATCACCGCCCTGGTATACTTGAAAATCAGAGTCATACCTTCACGCCCTATGCGCGCCGTATAACCGAGGGTATCCAAATAGTTTGTCTAACCTTGTGCTTTACCTTATAATAATTGTTTATTATTCATTTAGGGCCCGTTCGGACAACCCAATAATCTATGCTGTTCGTGCAATTGAATAATCCAACATTCAGAACTCCTGATTATCCCAATAACCCGCCAAGAAAACAATCACCTTCGGAGGTAATTATTCCTACACAACACAGATATCCTGAGAGCTAACGTTATCCGGACATGTAGGTTATCCACTTATTATGAATATTATGATTATCTTTTCCGCTACCTGATAATCCAGTCTATCCAATAATCCGAAGAAATAATCTAAGGTTGTCCGAACGGGCCCTTAATTAACGTCGTTTACCATGCCATACGACTCTGATGGTTCCTTACATGCTAAGACCGCAGGGCGTTTATGTATTCTCACGGGCTCGAAGACGACAGTTATGTTGATAACGATCAATGCTGGTACGTACACCTAGATAGAAGACTACTCGTCAGGCGTGCCTGCAGGCTATAAAATGTCTAGTTGACCTGTTAAGGAAAATGGCTAGTGCTAAGCGATAATTCTGTAGCGTTTAAACTGATGATATTGTAAACCGGATTCCCTTGACTTGATGGTTGATGATACCCTCAAGTCTTCGCAGAATCAAGCCCTATTTATACATGTTGGAACCTATGCCAAGGCCCGCTTTCTAATACTAACTGACACAACGATAATAGAATAAGATACTGCTCCCGAAGATAACCCAGATAGAAAAGCGCCCCCGCATAGTCCCGTCCTCCATTCTAATTCCGACACGTAACCATGAACCTTGCAATTGCCAGTCATCGGGCTGTACCATACTATTATCCTAGACCTACTTCTCTAAGTAGAACAGCCTACAGCCGTAAGCCCCGCTTCCTATTCTATTCCGGGTGAGACACCCAATAGTAAGCGTGCCGTCATAACAGTATAGTACTAGTGTGGTAACACCACATGCCCCCACACTACCCGATACCTTTCTATGCTTGTCCCTCCGTTACCCGACCGTCCTCGCATCACAACCAGTCACTCGTATTCCTCCCTGTTCTAAACCTTTTAGAACAGTGTTCCGTAGTTCCTGTAACACTACTCCCCCTTCCTAGACGTCGCCCTCGACCGTTAAAACCCTTCTATGATAAAAACCCTGTGGGAAAAGTCATAGAGTAGGGAAAGGTATCGAGCTTAGTCTCGCCTGTTCCGTTGTCGTTTATGAGCCCGGTCATTATCGATCGCTGGGCCTTGACTTCGCGTATGGGGTCGTATGTTCGAGGTTGGCTGGAAGTTCTCGTCTGCCAATGCCTCCTGTGGCTCGGGTGTTGCCAGTCGTTTTCGTGTATTCTGTTTTCTGGTGGGATCCGGGTCCTCGCGATAGGGTCGCAACAGCATCTCGTGAAAAACGTCGTGAACCTTCCATTCTACCGGAAGTTCGAGACGGTAAGCCCGATTGCCCACCACTGCTGAAACTGTAAATGGCCCTGTGAACTTGTCTGACCACTTGGAGTATCCTCCTAGGTTCCGAGTGTCCAGCAAGACTTTCTGACCGATAGTGAACCGCTGTACTGCCGGTCCTGGCTTTGACGCCATCCTGTCGAAGGTCTTCTGTAGCGTATCTCTCGCTAACTCATGAGCCGTAATGATCTCATCCAATTAGTTGTTCCCGTTGGCGTCTAATCGTTCGATCTCCGCATCCGTAGGCCAATCCGTTCGAGGGTGGAAGCCATAATTGCAGTAGAACGGCGATTGCCCCGTCGACGTATGCTTCGCATTGTTGTAGGCGTATTCACAGATAGGTAACAGGTCCTTCCATTTCTTGCCTGTTCCTGCCGTATATGCCCGAATATAACCTTCCATGTGTTGGTTGGTCCGCTCTGTTTGGCCGTCGGTTTGGGGGTGGAATGAGGTGGAGAGTCTTCTACGAATCCCCAGTCTGTCCGTAATTGCCGCCCAGAATGCTGACACGAACTGCGTTCCTCTATCGGAGACGATGCTCCTAGGAAGCCCGTGGAAACGCCAGATGTCTTTGACAAATGCGTTGGCGGTCTGCTCCGCGTTGATCCCCGTCATTGGGATGAAGTGAGCCATCTTCGTAAAACGGTCCACGACTACCAATACGTTACGGAATCCTGATTTCTCCTTAGGTAATTCTATTACGAAGTCCATCGAGATATGAGTCCAAGGTGTGGTGGCCAACTCTAGGGGTTGAGGGAGTGACAAGTGTCTCCGACGTTGCTTGGCTCTCTGGCATACATCGCAAGTCTTGACGAAGTTGGCTACATCCGTGGACATTCCTGGCCACCAGTAGTTCCTATCAATCAACTCAAGGGTTTCATCCCTTCCTAGATGCCCCGCTACGGGTCGATCATGATGTTCCTCCATGACCTGCTTGACCGCGTAGCCCGGTACTACCCATCGACCATCGTGGGTGGGGTCATTCGAATCGGGACTCCATTCAGCGGCAGGCTCTACTTTTACGATAGCAGCCTCCGGTGGTCCAAAGATCTCCAGGTTTGAGTCAGGGAGGTGTTCATCCGGAACCATCCTCCGAACCCAGCGTCTTTCCTGTTCATACCAACCCTGTAGTGGCTGAGGCAGCTCTACGCTCGGTATGTCGTACCACTGATCCAACTGATTCCATTTTTCTTCGGGGTTGCCAATCACTTCAGACCCAGTTTCTACGCTGGTCCGTGATTTCCTGACAAATTGCTCTGCGCTGAGTAGCTGTTTTACGGGCTGCTCACGCATTACTCCCCCTTCCATTGCGAACTCCGGACGCCTTGTAAGTGCATCTGGCTTGCCGTTTTTTTCGCCTGGTCGGTAATGGATCTTGAAGCGAAAAGGTGCTATCTTCTCGGCCCATCTGGCTTGTCTTCTCGACAACTTCTTGGTCGTTGTGAAATACTGCAGGTTTTGGTGATCCGAATGTATCTGGATAGGAATGTCCGTTCCTTCCAGCCAATGTCTCCAAGTCAAGAGGGCAGAAACTATTGCGAGCATCTCCTTGTCGTAGATCTCATAGTTGACCTCTGCCTCGTTGAACTTGCGAGAGTGGTAAGCTACCGGATGTAGAATACCGTCCTCGAACACCTGAGAAAGTACTGCGGCCTCGGCCCAATCACTCGCATCAGTCTCCACGATTGCTTCGCGGTGTTCGTCATAGTGTCGGAGTATTGGAGCAGACGTAAATCTCCTTCTGAGCTCGTCGAACGCATCTTGCTGTTCCCTGCCCCATTTCCATACGGAACCTTTCTTCAGGAGATCGGTCATAGGTCTGCAAACCTCAGAGTATCGGTGGATAAACCGTCTTAGGAAATTGGCGAAACCGAGGAAGCATTGAAGTTCCTTGACCTTGGTTGGGGCTAACCAACCTTCGATCGCCTGGACTTTCTTTGGTGATACTCGGTTCCCTTTTCCTGATAGTATAAATCCCAGGAATTCTACCTCCTGTTGATACCATTCCGTTTTCTCGAGGTTTCCGTATAGATGGTGTCGTCGCAGTCGCTCCAAAACTTCTCGTACAAGAGTCGTATGCTCTTCTCTAGTCTTTGAATACATTAAGATGTCATCCAGGTAGACTACTACGCCTTGATCTAGAAGATCCTTGAATATGGTATTGACCATGACCTGAAACGACGCAGGAGCATTGGTCAAGCCGAAAGGCATTACCCTATATTCGAAAAGGCCGTATTTCGTTCGGAAAGCGGTTTTCCATTCTTCGCCCTTAGCAATCCTAATCAGATTATAGCCATTTTTCAGGTCTATCTTCGTGAAGTAGAGTGCTCCTTTCGTTGCGTCGGCCAGCTCGTTCATGAGTGGCAGTGGATAACGGTTCTTGATTGTGATTCCATTCAAACCACGAAAGTCGACACATAGCCGAAGCTTACCATTCGCTTTCGGAACGAACAGGACGGGTGCCGCTGCTGGGCTAGTGGAGGGGACTACTTTGCCGGAGGGCAAGTTCTCGTCCAAATACTCCCGGAGTGCCTTATCTTCAGGTGGGGAGAGCGAGTAGATTGGTCCCCACGGAGGCTGCTTTCCTTCCATAAGAGGAATGGTATGATCCCATTCAGAGTGATCAGGTAGTCGAGCGGCTCCTTCCTTGGAGAACACGTCGGCGTATTCCTGAAACCCCACCGGTATAGCACTAACGAGAGCCTCGTTTACCGATGCTCTTGCCCAAAAGGGGTGTTGCTCGATCGTCGTCTGCTTCTTGGGTGACGCCCTCAACAGCCTGATGACCAGCTCTTCTGGGTCTTGATCGTATATGTCCTCGACTGATACGAAACATCCATTGACTATACAGTTGTTACTATGGAAGCTAACACTGTTGCGTCCCCAATGGATGGTTGGTTGATGCTCCTTGAGCCATCGATGTGGTATGACGAGGTCCTCTCCTGCAAACGAGCCAACCTCACAGGTAATAGCCCTATCTAGATGGTTGCCGATGCGGAGGGAGAGAGGTTGGGTGGTGTGAGTGCCGGAGTTGGGCATAGGGGTACCATCGGCCTGTCTGATGATGAGAGGCTTTGGTCGAGGTTGAGTGGGTATTTTCGCACGGTGGATACAGTCCCAGGACATGATCCAGTCCTCAGTGCCACTATCTAGGAGTGCGTGGACTGTTGCGACATGTTTGGTACTAGTTGCGGGGTGATCCCAAGAGATCTCGATCTCGAGGCGGGTTTCTTGTGTGTCGGAAGACATGTTTATGTGT